GTGTTCAATGTGGATGTGTTTAGTGTGGATGTGTTCAGTGTGGATGTCTTCAGTGTTTATATTGAGCGTGAATGTGTTCAGTGTGGATGTGTTTAGTGTGGATGAGTTCAGTGTGGATGTCTTCAGTGTTTATGTTGAGCGTGAATGTGTTCAGTGTAGATGTGTTCAGTGTGGATGTGTTCAGTGTGGATGTCTTCAGTGTTTATGTTGAGCGTGAATGTGTTCAGTGTGGATGTGTTCCGTGTGGATGTCTTCAGTGTTTATGTTTAGCGTGAATGTGTTCAGTGTGGATGTGTTCAGTGTTTATATTGAGCGTGAATGTGTTCAGTGTGGATGTCTTCAGTGTTTATATTGAGCGTGAATGTGTTCAGTGTGGATGTCTACAGTGTTTATGTTGAGCGTGAATGTGTTCAGTGTGGATGTCTTCAGTGTTTATGTTGATCGTGAATGTGTTCAGTGTAGATGTGTTTAGTGTGGATGTGTTCAGTGTGGATGTGTTCAGTGTGAATGTGAATGTGTGGATGTGTTCCGTGTGGATGTCTTCAGTGTTTATGTTTAGCGTGAATGTGTTCAGTGTGGATGTGTTCAGTGTTTATATTGAGCGTGAATGTGTTCAGTGTGGATGTCTTCAGTGTTTATATTGAGCGTGAATGTGTTCAGTGTGGATGTGTTCAGTGTGGATGTGTTTAGTGTGGATGTGTTCAGTGTGGATGTCTTCAGTGTTTATATTGAGCATGAATGTGTTCAGTGTGGATGTGTTCAGTGTGGATGTTTAGTGTGGAAGTGTTCAGTGTGGATGTCTTCAGTGTTTATGTTGAGCGTGAATGTGTTCAGTGTGGATGTGTTCCGTGTTGATGTCTTCAGTGTTTATATTGAGCGTGAATGTGTTCAGTGTGGATGTGTTTAGAGTGGATGTGTTCAGTGTGGATGTCTTCAGTGTTTATGTTGAGCGTGAATGTGTTCAGTGTAGATGTGTTTAGTGTGGATGTGTTCAGTGTGGATGTCTTCAGTGTTTATATTGAGCATGAATGTGTTCAGTGTGGATGTGTTCAGTGTGGATGTGTTCAGTGTTTATATTGAGCATGAATGTGTTCAGTGTGGATGTGTTCAGTGTGGATGTTTAGTGTGGAAGTGTTCAGTGTGGATGTCTTCAGTGTTTATGTTGAGCGTGAATGTGTTCAGTGTGGATGTGTTCCGTGTTGATGTCTTCAGTGTTTATATTGAGCGTGAATGTGTTCAGTGTGGATGTGTTTAGAGTGGATGTGTTCAGTGTGGATGTCTTCAGTGTTTATGTTGAGCGTGAATGTGTTCAGTGTAGATGTGTTCAGTGTGGATGTGTTCAGTGTTTACGTTGATCGTGAATGTGTTCAGTGTGGATGTGTTCAGTGTAGATGTGTTTAGCGTGAATGTGTTCAGTGTGGATGTCTTCAGTGTTTATATTGAGCATGAATGTGTTCAGTGTAGATGTGTTTAGTGTGGATGTGTTCAGTGTGGATGTCTTCAGTGTTTATATTGAGCATGAATGTGTTCAGTGTGGATGTGTTCAGTGTGGATGTGTTCAGTGTTTATATTGAGCATGAATGTGTTCAGTGTGGATGTCGTCAGTGTTTATGTTGATCGTGAATGTGTTCAGTGTGGATGTGTTCAGTGTTTATGTTGAGCGTGAATGTGTTCAGTGTGGATGTTTAGTGTGGATGTGTTCAGTGTGGATGTGTTCAGTGTTTATGTTGAGCGTGAATGTGTTCAGTGTGGATGTCTTCAGTGTTTATATTGAGCATGAATGTGTTCAGTGTGGATGTCGTCAGTGTTTATGTTGAGCGTGAATGTGTTCAGTGTGGATGTCTTCAGTGTTTATGTTGAGCGTGAATGTGTTCAGTGTGGATGTCTTCAGTGTTTATATTGAGCGTGAATGTGTTCAGTGTGGATGTCTTCAGTGTGGATGTGTTCAGTGTGGATGTCTTCAGTGTTTATATTGAGCATGAATGTGTTCAGTGTGGATGTGTTCAGTGTGGATGTGTTCAGTGTTTATATTGAGCATGAATGTGTTCAGTGTGGATGTCTTCAGTGTTTATGTTGAGCGTGAATGTGTTCAGTGTAGATGTGTTTAGTGTGGATGTGTTCAGTGTGGATGTCTTCAGTGTTTATATTGAGCATGAATGTGTTCAGTGTGGATGTGTTCAGTGTGGATGTGTTCAGTGTTTATATTGAGCATGAATGTGTTCAGTGTGGATGTCTTCAGTGTTTATGTTGAGCGTGAATGTGTTCAGTGTGGATGTTTAGCGTGAATGTGTTCAGTGTGGATGTGTTCAGTGTGAATATCTTCAGTGTTTATATTGAGCGTGAATGTATTCAGTGTGGATGTCTTCAGTGTGAATGTCTTCAGCGTTTATATGGAGCGTGAACGTGTTCAGTGAGAATGTGTTCAGTGTGAATGTCTTCAGTGTTTATATTGAGCGTGTATGTGTTCAGTGTGGATGTCTTCAGTGTTTATGTTGAGCGTGAATGTGTTCAGTGTGGATGTGTTCAGTGTGGATGTGTTCAGTGTGAATGTGAATGTGTGGATGTGTTCAGTGTGGATGTCTTCAGTGTTTATATTGAGCATGAATGTGTTCAGTGTGGATGTGTTCAGTGTGGATGTGTTCAGTGTTTATATTGAGCATGAATGTGTTCAGTGTGGATGTCTTCAGTGTTTATATTGAGCGTGAATGTGTTCAGTGTGGATGTTTAGCGTGAATGTGTTCAGTGTGGATGTGTTCAGTGTGAATATCTTCAGTGTTTATATTGAGCGTGAATGTATTCAGTGTGGATGTCTTCAGTGTGAATGTCTTCAGCGTTTATATGGAGCGTGAACGTGTTCAGTGAGAATGTGTTCAGTGTGAATGTCTTCAGTGTTTATATTGAGCGTGTATGTGTTCAGTGTGGATGTCTTCAGTGTTTATGTTGAGCGTGAATGTGTTCAGTGTGGATGTGTTCAGTGTGGATGTGTTCAGTGTGAATGTGAATGTGTGGATGTGTTCAGTGTGGATGTCTTCAGTGTTTATATTGAGCGTGTATGTGTTCAGTGTGGATGTCTTCAGTGTTTATGTTGAGCGTGAATGTGTTCAGTGTGGATGTGTTCAGTGTGGATGTCTTCAGTGTTTATGTTGAGCGTGAATGTGTTCAGTGTGGATGTCTTCAGAGTGGATGTCTTCAGTGTTTATGTTGAGCGTGAATGTGTTCAGTGTGGATGTCTTCAGTGTTTATGTTGAGCGTGAATGTCTTCAGTGTGGATGTCTTCAGTGTTTATATTGAGCGTGAATGTGTTCAGTGTGGATGTCGTCAGTGTTTATATTGAGCGTGAATGTGTTCAATGTGGATGTGTTTAGTGTTTATGCTGAGCGTGAATGTATTCAGTGTGGATGTCTTCAGTGTTTATATTGAGCGTGAATGTGTTCAGTGTGGATGTCTTCAGTGTTTATATTGAGCGTGAATGTGTTCAGTGTGGATGTCTTCAGTGTTGATGTTGAGCGTGAATGTGTTCAGTGTGGATGTGTCTAGTGTGGATGTCTTCAGTGTTTATATTGAGCGTGAATGTGTTCAATGTGGATATGTTTAGTGTGGATGTGTTCAGTGTGGATGTCTTCAGTGTTTATATTGAGCGTGAATGTGTTCAGTGAGGATGTTTTTTTGGGTTGATGTTGAGCGTGAATGTGTTCAGTGTGGATGTGTCTAGTGTGGATGTCGTCAGTGTGAATGTCTTCAGTGTGAATGTCTTCAGTTTGAATGTGTTCAAGGTGAATGTCTCCAGTGTGAATGTCGTGAGTGTGAATGTCGTGAATGTGAATGTTTTCAGTGTGAATGTCGTGAGTGTGAATGTTTCCAGTGTGAATGTTTTCAGTGTAAATGTCGTGAGTGTGGATGTCTTCAGTGTGAATGTCTTCAACATGAATCTCTTCAGTGTGGATGTCTTCAGTGTGAATGTCTTCAGTGTGAATGTCTTCAGTGTTTATGTTGAGCGTGAATGTGTTCAGTGTGGATGTCTTCAGTGTGGATATATTCAGTGTTTATGATGAGCGTGAATGTGTTCAGTGTTTATGTTGAGCGTGAATGTGTTCAGTGTGGATGTGTTTAGTGTGGATGTCGTCAGTGTGAATGTCTTCAGTTTGAATGTCTTCAATGTGAATGTCTTCAGTGTGAATGTCGTGAGTGTGAATGTCTTCAGTGTGAATTTCGTGAATGTGAATGTTTTCGATGTGAATATCGTGAGTATGAATGTTTCCAGTGTGAATGTTTCCAGTGTGAATGTCGTGAATGTGAATGTCTTCAGTGTGAATGTCTTCAACATGAATCTCTTCAGTGTGGATGTCTTCAATGTGGATGTCTTCAGTGTGAATGTCTTCAGTGTGAATGTCTTCAGTGTGGGTGTCTTGAGTGTTTATGTCTTCAATGTGAATGTCTTCAGTGTGGATGTCTTCAATGTGAATGTCTTCAGTGTGGATGACTTCAACATGTATCTCTACAGTGTGGATGTCTTGAGTATGGATGTCTTGAGTGTTTATGTCTTCAATGTGGATGTCTTGAGTGTTTATGTCTTGAGTGTGGATGTCTTCAGTGTGGATGTCTTCAGTGTGAATGTCTTCAGTGTGAATGTCTCAGTGTGAATGTCATCAGTGTGAATGTCTTCAACATGAATCGCTTCAGTGTGGATGTCTTCAGCGTGAATCGCTTCAGTGTGAATGTCTTCAGTGTGAATGTCTTGTGTGTTTATGTCTTCAATGTGAATGTCTTCAGTGTGGATGTCTTCAAAGTGAATGTCTTCAGTATGGATGTCTTCAACTTGAATCTCTTCACTGTGGATGTCTTGAGTGTTTATGTCTTCATTGTGTATGTCTTCAGTGTGGATGTCTTCAGTGTGAATGTCTTCAGTGTGAATATGTCCAGAGTGAATGTCGTCAGTGTGAAAGGTTTCAACAACAAATATTCTTGAAAAACATTTTATTATAAAATATAAATACGAAAACGGGGTAAAGATAAAAATGTAAAAAATAAATACATTTGGAATATGATATTCAAAATGATTGTCTACAACCCAGTTGTATCTGTGTTCAGTTTGGATGTGTTTAGTGTGGATGTCTTCAGTTTGAATGTGTTCAATGTGAATGTCTTCAGTGTGAACGTCGTGAGTGTGAATGTCTCAGTGTGAACGTCGTGAATGTGAATGTTTTCAGTGTGAATGGCGTGAGTGTGGATGTCTTCAGTGTGAATGTCTTCATTGTGGATGTCTTCAGTGTGGATGTCTTCAGTGTGAATGTCTTCAGTGTGAATGTCTTCAGTGTGAATGTCATCAGTGTGAATGTCTTCAGTGTGAAAGTGTCCAGAGTGAATGTCGTCAGTGTGAAAGGTTTCAACAACAAATATTCTTGAAAAACATTTTATTATAAAATATAAATACAAAAACGGGGTAAAGATAAATATGTAAAAAATAAATACATTTTGAATATGATATTCAAAATGGTTGTCTACAACCCAGTTGTATGGATGGGACTGTACCCTTACAAACAGTCGACAGAGAACGTCACAAACTACACGTTCACGCTGCGACACAATCAACACAAGACAATCTCTGTGAGGTACAAAATGAAAGCCGTCATTTGTAAAAACTACAATATTTGAGGGCTTCTTACTAAAAGCCTGAAAATCTGACGACTGAAACACCGTTGTAATAATTTCAAATTAAATTTGCTCAATTTTGCATGCATCTCCTAAACCCAGGATCCTTATGTAAGTTCGTGTTGTCTTCTAATCTAGTTCAAATAAGTTCCCCGAGTTCACAGTCTACAGTAAAAGTATAACTAAAGCTGTTCTAATCTCAGTTAAATGACGAGATGTACACATGAGTCTCAACTTAATGTTTACTGGAGGAAATTAGGAATGTTTGAGGGATCGCGCTGTCTCTCCATGTCCAAACCGAACTCGGTACTGCTTCCCGCGTCCAACTCGACTCGCGCCTCCTTTTCGTGAAGCGATGCACCTGCACACACATTCGACATCCAGACTGGGGCCCAGCGCATGGGGAAGCCTTGTTGTACTGTGCGGTAATAAGTGTCGAACTTTCTGAAACTAGAAGCACATCATACTGTCAGCAATGTAACTATTATGAATGCAGCATGTGTTTAAAGTTTACAACTAGATATACAGTCTCGCCTAAGTTACCGTTCTGAGTCACAGTGACCATACTGAGAAAATTTATGTCCGGATGAACGAGTGGGGTGTGGAGTTATTTCCCTTTGTATGTTGTAGACATTCATCCGAAATCATCCGGAAAGGGGGATTGATGGCCCGCAATAATGTGATTTCACTGTTACAAATACATTTAAATCTATCTATCTATCTATCTATCTATCTATCTATCTATCTATCTGTCGAAACACCATTAATCCTGGCTATGGCGTCGTTTGTTCGGTTTGTCGAGTCTGTATATTGTCTGTGTAAATGAAGCATCGCTAACAGTATTCGACTAACAGGGTCTGGATTAATGGGGTTTCTCTGCGACATCTTGTTCTTTGATGACGTAACATGTATATGTACACCAATAACAGAGACGCCCTGAATTCCAACCACTCGTTAAATCTGATCTAGTTCTTTTTAAACTTATGGATCGTGTATATGATGTGTCTCAAATATTAACAAAAGGTTAAAAACAATATCCGATTTCTTTTCTTTACAGTCTTCAAACAATGGAAATGGCTGCTTACTTGGCACCCTTGAAGAAGTACATATGCCCATCATACCACGTGACCGCTGCCTCCACCCCCCTAGGGATGCCCTGCCAGTGACGAGTGATGCTATAAGACCACCCAGGCACCATCTGTAGGGTGTCGGGGTTCCACTCCCAGAAATTGTCACTCTGTAAAAAAATATATACGTTATTTTAGTTTAATCGTTATGCCCTCAACGTGTATTACAACGTCTAGAAACTGTGATGATATCTACGCGACACAGATCAGTAATCTTGGGCACTGAATCTCATCCCTTCACAATGTATGTCTGATGGGGTAGCCTAGTGGTTAAAGCGTTCGCTCGTCACGCCGAAGACCCGGGTTCGATTCCCGACATGGGTATAATGTGTGAAGCCCATTTCTGGTGTCCCCCGCCGTGATATTGCTGCAATATTGCTAAAAGCGGCGCAAAACCATAGTTTTTACACACTCACTCACTAGAAACTGTGATGATATCTACGCGACACAGATCAGTATACTCTTGGGCACTGAATCTCATCCCTTCACATTGAATGTGGGGTAGCCAGGTGGTTAAAGTGTTGTCTTGTCTTGCCAACAGTGGTTCGATTCTCAAGATAGTGTTAGATATAGGAGACCTATAATACGTGTGTCGTTCACCGAGCTATCTCTGAAATGCTGTTTGGTCGGGTGTCAAACCATCTCCACACCTTGAACATGTCCCGATTGACAACATTCTGGATTATCAAGGGGCATTGGTACAATAAATAAGTTACAAGTTACACTCCTCAACGAGGACAAATGTGGACAAACAATACTTCAACAGAACGCAGTTGTCCATGCTACTATGGGTGAGTCTGTTAGCAAATAACATGAAGATCCCGTGAAGATCCGGGTTAGAATAGGTCTTCAGCAACCCATTGTGTCGTAAAAGGCGACTAAGTGGATCTAGTGATCAGGCTCGCTGACTTGGTTGATGCATGTCATCAATCCCAATTGTGTGGATCAATGCTCATGATGTCAATCACTGGATTGTGTGGTTCAGAGTTGATGATTTACAGACCGCCATGTAGCTGGAATAGTGCGGCGTTAAACAACCGACCAACAAGTATATTTAGCATCATACCAGTCTGTTACTTGCTGCAACTTACCCCGAACATGAAGATGCGGCTCTTTCCATAGGTGTCCTTCATGTTGAGCATGGCGTGGATCTTCTCAGGGAAGTCAGCAGTGTAGATAGTCTTGGGGAAACCCTGGTCCAGCTCGAAGTCCGTGTACCGCCACAACCGGGATCCTGACGAACAAGTTAACATTGATATACAGTAAACTACGGTTATAACGAACTCAAAGGGACTACTAATGTTAGTTCGTTATAACCGTAGTTCGTTATAAGCATACATACAGCATAACCACAGCAAATAGTCGGGACCAAAAAAGTAAGTTCGTTATATCGGTCAGTTCGTTATAAGCGTGTTCGTTATAACCGTAGTTTACTGTACTGGAGTCAAATTTTGTTGCTTTTCAATCTTTGCAAATTCAGATTTTCAACAGTAATCGTGGGAGATCCAGGGGGAAACATGTTTCCCCGTATAAACAATGAGACGGATCTAAATAATGAGGTGTCCTTGAAGGTTCTTAATACTGACCTTTGAAGAGGTAGGTTTTCCTGCCCTCGGGCATGTAGAATGCGCCTCTGATTTTCCCGGGTGCCCGGGGGTACACGTCCCTGATGGGTCGGGGGAAGCCAGCCTCTAGACCCCTGCTGCCTAGCTTGTATACCTGGCTGTACCGGAAGGCGTATGTGTAGCCGTCGGAAGCTGCGCAGAGAGAACAATGACGTCATACACATGAGGACCCAAGATGTCAATTTCCTAGTTAAAATTTTAAAAATCTTCTTTTTATGCTTATAGACAACGATTTAATTTAATTATGGACTGCATTAATATTATATAAATATGCTGATAATTATAAAACAAAAGTGTTTTACGCGGTAGTAATTAAATGACTGTGGCCAGTAAATAATCGATGGCGGTGGGGTAGTCAAACGTATAGACACAAGGCACGAAGCCCATTGCTGGTGTCCTGGGTCCATTCATCCCTTGAACTATCACAAATCGATCTTACGATATGGGGTTTTAAGACCTGTAGCACAAAGATCGCTTTGTTGAACCCTCCCATGATCATACATTCACTCTCAGGAATCAATTGATCTTAATATATGGACGGTTTTGTGACAGATAAGATCGCTTTTGTTAAACCGGTCCCTGATTTTACAACAGCTGAAAACTGCGGGAAAAAATCACTTTAAGGAATCAAGACAAACAAGCATTAGGAGTGATCGGATCATTACGTCCTGATGGCGACAACCTTCGTGGACAAGAACGTATTATACCTGTGACAATGGCGTCCAGTTTCGTCGAGCAATAATCGGCAGTTGGACTTGTAGCCTCTGTTGTAGTAGTCGTTGGTGACATGGTCGTCGCTGTTGTTGTGGATGTTGTTGTGGATGTTGTTGTTGAAGTTGGACGGTGAGGATTAGACCCTAATCAAACAAAACATATCTAAAACGTCAACACCAGAGAAAAACCTCGCTTATCAACAGAAACAAACTCAATTGAACGAACAAGGAAAAGTAGCAGTGAAAGCTGTAATGGAGCACCGAAAAGCACTGATGACACCAGGGGTTGGCGGAAGGTGTCAGCACATCCTGCTCTACCGGTAGCGACACAACATAATAGTTTAATCGTAACTATCACGGTGTAAACGAACCCGTAAGGACCTATACGATAGCTTCGTGATATCCGAACATCGATATACAGCTGAATAATAGGGCTGAATGATACCACTTAGGGATTACACTGGAATTCGTCATAACAGTATACAGTAAACTACGGTTATAACGAACTCGAAGGGACCACTAACTTTAGTTTTTTATAAGCGTAGTTCGTTATAAGCATATATCAAGCATAACTATAGCAAATAGTCCGGACAAAAAAATCAGTTCGTTATATCCGTCAGTTCGTTATAAGCGTGTTCGTTATAAACGTACTTTACTGTATTTTGCTTTATCTAACTTCGTCATATGCAGACTAGAGCATTTGTTTGTTTGACTATACATATACTGAACAATAAAAGCTGGAGATCGTGAATATGTTTGGGGAAATTGTGTGTCTTCACTAAAAAGATATTTGAAAATATATTCATGTTCTCTAACTTTTTATGCACAGTATATTAGGACAAGGACATATTAACATAGAACAATGATACGGATGTTGTCAGTATACCCTAACATTGATTTTCGATAGTCTTGCTATTACAATCCCTATGTGGGGATTTCAGGACAAAGGGTTATGACAGGAGTTGCGTTAAGATCGCTTTGTGCAAGTGGGCCTTGGTCCGTTCAACAAAGTTATCATAATATCGACATGTCAGAGGGACTATATTTACCATAGAGTGTCTGAATAGCTCGGATGTCATCACTGTGTAGTTTAAAGTCGGGGTCGTATCCTTGGTAATAAGGTGCCATGAGCGACCCGGGCACCGAGGAATGCCCAAGACCAAGGGCGTGGCCAAATTCATGAGCAGCAACCGTTTCTAGGTCTGTACCACGTGACTCGTGATACGTCCACTCCTCATCATCATCAAAGTGGGTGTCGCCGCTAATTGAGTGTTTCCCCGGACCGAACGCATGTGCAAGTGTCTTGCCTGAAATTTAAAGATGGCTGCATGGTAATAAACGTCAGGATCAGAAAGAAAACAGATAAAGACGAAAATAACATTCATGGAATAGTTGACGCTTTTATTCCGAATATGTCAATCATCTTAACGGAGGATGGACTTAAACAAGTCTCTACGGCAATAATTATAATTTTAAATAATAATTTCTAGATTATGTAAATAATTAGAACAAGTTGTCCCCATAAGAGACTTACTGAAATGTCAACATATCTAGACTTGCCTATTAGGAGGATAGAACTACTACACATCCAGTACAGCCTTGGAGCAAGGCTAGACAGAGGGGTGCGGATGGGATTGTTGTTTAAGGATTCGCTCGTCGTGTTGGCGATCCTGGTTTGATTCCTAACATAGGTATTTTTTGTATCCCCTGTGTGACGTTGTTGGGATAAGTAGAGTCAAGCTCTGTTGGTTCTATCTTAAATGAAAACGATGGTTTTATTTTCAAATGTTTACCTCTTCCATCGAAAGCGTTGTATCGTCCATCTCCGTGTTCCCCGCGTGCAAACTTGACCTCAATGTCAGGGGTCCCGTCTGTGTATTTGAAGGTCAACGGGGTCACTTGCTGCCAGTACTTGAAAGCGTTTTCCATGGCGCTTCTGTAACGAAGGTTTGTTAATTATTATGAAATGTCAAAACAGCACCTTAAGAATCCATATTAACCGTGTTCTCAGCATAGAGTATTGACGACATTCATATAAGCGGAAGATATGTTCGAACATACACCCTAGTAAGCAAATGGACCTCGTTTTGTATTAAAGGGGTACCATACTCCATAATCCAACGTCAGCTTCCGGTCAAGGTCATGACGTTGTATTTTCTTCGTGAGGCTCAGTGTCGGGTAATCGTCAATTGATTGTAATCAAATGTGTTATGTTCGCCATTTTGCACGGAACTATTCCCCTTATGTATTGCAGTTATCTCTTCTGGATGGGGGGTCAATATTTACCTCTGCACTGACTGTCCCATCTGATTTGTCCATGCCACTGTTTTCCAGGTTACTTCCTTATTTGGCCACTTGCCTCCTGTAAACAAACAAACAAACAACCATATAAACTCACGGGACAATTAGTACCTTTTTAATTAATGTGTGATGTACACGATTATAATCCTTGGTCAGCATACACGGGTCCGAGTCCAAGATCATCCCTGGTTATGACCTAGGGTCATCCCCTAACATCGGTAGTAGTATGCATCGGCTCTATGGAGTTGTTCCAAGATGGCGGCACATCCGGTTCCGATGCATGTTGGAACCGGAAATGACGCCATCTTGGAAAAAGATGATGCCAACTACTGTCGGTCAACCAGGTTTTTCACGTTTAACCTTGAGCCCCGTCAGCCGATCTACAATAACCTGACACACCGTTATATAACGTTCAAAGCACAGTTACACCATCACGTGCAGGTAAAACATTTTACAATATTTGTAAATATCAGGGGATATAACCGATGTGGCAGGTAAAAAGGTCACAAGAACAAAAACAACGAAATGTAACACGTTCTCACCAAGATGGGTATAACTTAGCGGCTGATCTGGGTCAGCATCTTTCAGAATATCCCTGAACCCACAACGAGGCTTGGTAATCTGCTCATATGTCTCCCTGTTCATGATGCCCGTCACTTGAAATCCGTTAAACTCTTGAAACTTTCTGAAAAGATAAGTCAAGGTTTTAGTATGTTTCATTTGTTTCATTTTGGTGGAATGTTGTTGGTTGTTAAGGGCCGCTCTCAGCAATTTTCAACGAAACGACGTCGTAGCATATATCTTTGAGTCTAGATCAGCAAATCAATAACTGATATTATGGGTTCCCGCCGTCGGAGAACGACCAGTAGTAGTTTCTAAGGTCTATTCCAACCTGGCTTTAATTCAAAAGCAACATCTAATGACGTTTTAATACACACGCGTATAGTTTAAGTTATGATTTCATAATTTGACCAATTGAGATCACCGAAAACTTTGGCAATGCCGTTGATGTCGCAGACTTGCTTATCACTTTTGGGAATGTTGGGAATGCCAAATAAAAGCGATGCCAGAAAATGAAACGTAGAAGAGAATACTAAGTATTAATTTGGCCAGGTCGATCGGAACTACGATCTTCCACACACCGGGAAGAGATATCCGCTACACCAGTACACTGTAAGTGCTATGACTCTCATGTCTGTGTATACTATTTAGCATTTGTTACTTTGAATATTGAATAGTTCCACCAATACTTTGCCCTCACCTGACAGCGTATTCCAGCTCAACCTCGGAGTGGAAGATGGCTCCCCCGTCCTCCTCGGTGTTGTAGTCGGTGTTGAGGTAGCCGTACCGTTCCAAGTATTCCTGTTTGAGGTAAATATAGTAACAGATTATACAAAACTGTTAATAAGGAAAGTATCGCTCACAGTAAAATATTTAAACAGATTTCCGACTTAAGGCGAAATGGATGCGGAAAAGTATTCATTTGTTCATGTGTAAACGTTTTGAAATAGCAATCGTCCATAATGTTGGGTTTCCAGACTAACAGGGTTCCACTGTATAAGAACATCGCTTGAAGGAGTTACTTCCGGATTGGTAGAAGATGCTTTGATACGTATTTTAGCTTCATTTGTTATTGCTGCTGTGGAAACTACATCGGCTCAATTAACACTACTACTACAACTGAAAGTCCCGTGAAGATCCGGGGGAGAACAGATATTCAGCAACCCATGCTTGCCTTTAAAGGCGACTACGCTTGTCGTAAGAGGCGACTAACGGGATCGGGTGGTCAGGCTCGCTTGACTTGGTTGATGCATGTCATCGTATCCCAATTTCGCAGATCGATGCTCATGATATCAATCACTGGATTGTCGGGTCCAGATTCGATAAGTTACATACCGCCGTCATATAGCTGTACTATTGCTGATTGCGGCGTTAAACAACAAACAAACAAAACTACAACTGAAACTACTTCTTCTGCTTCTTCAACCACATCGATTCCCGACATGGGTATAATGTGTGAAGCCCATATCTGGTGTCCCCCGCCGTGATATTGCTGGAATATTGCTAAAAGCGGCGTAAAACCATACTCACTCACTCACTCACTCACTCACTTCTTCAAACACAACTAGTACTAACACCAAGAACTCAAAAAACATCTTTTTCGCAAATTGACAAACATAGACAGGTGATACTCACCACCATGTCAAATGCATCTCTCTTTTCGATGTTATGAGCGTCTTCAGTCTTCCCTTCTGTTCGTAACGTCGCCCCGTATATCAGGGGTACCCCAAGGAGAGCGAGCAATATTATCTTCATGTCTTCACTGTAAGTTACGTTTCTCTGTGAATAACTCGGAGGTTGATCACTGTTGAATTGACGGCTACCACATATCAGCGCCTTATATACCCTCGGGCAGCCATCAGCCGGTAAATGGGGATAAATTTAGACTAACGGATTGCGACAAATCCTGACATAGTCACCGGAAAAACTCACTGAAGGAAAGTAAATTTCCGGGTCGTACTTTGAACTTGTCGATAATTTCGAAATGCCTCAGCTTAATGATAAGGTATGAGTATGTCATCACGTTGTGATACGGTCCAGCGGTAGCCGGTCCCCGTGACGTCACGGCGTTCAGTCAAACGGGAGGGGCGAAGGTTTGGGGAGTCACTGAAGCGGGACAAGTGACACTGGCAGTGCACTTGAATAGACGCTGTCACACATACGAGCTATCGAGGCTTAGATCCAAGCACGGCATCTTCAATAAACTTTGTTTATAAAGATCTCAAAATTAGTTCGTTAAATCAATTCTGTTCTTCAAATTAACAATATTGGTGATCACTGTTCTCTCTAGGTTAGTATTTGGGATTGCTTTAACTGACTATTCTCCATATCAAACTTCGTTTTATCAGCTATTCGACATATCAAACTTCGTTATATCAGGAGCTGACTGTAGATATTACTTGCGTGATGCGAATTACGCGTTCAATGTCACCACCGCTTCACTATAATTCAGATCGTTATGTGAGTTGCTTACGAGTTAACTAACTCGTTCCCGATATTCATGCCTCTATCTATGTAAATATCTTCGGGACATCTGAATTTAAACCTTGCTTATTAATGTTGTGACTAATTTCAACGTAACAACAGCTATAACGCATTTACTACATATATGATATAATGGGAAAAAATTATGGCAATTGTTTTCTGAGCCACTTCTTAAAAAGGCCGAGTGAAAGAAAGTATACACTTGGAAACTGGATTTAGCGTAAACATTACAAACATTATCAAAACGGTACCAGGCTGACACAACTCGTCGATTCACTACTAAGTTAAGTTTTAAAAACAAAACTTTGATACCCGTATCAAATACACCATTGAATAACCATTTCTTGTTTGTTTCATTGTTAGCCACCATCAAACATGGGTATGCGTTCTTTTTTTCCAGAAGTTTAGAAGAGCTGCATTGTAAATATATGTTTTTAAATGATATATATGTATAGTCCTTAGAGTAAACATAAAGTGACAACACCGTCCTCCCCCGCGCGAGAGTAGGTCACAGTGACCTGGTTACAATCAATAGCTGTGGTATTTGGGTTAGATAAAGAGACAAAGAAAACATGAATATATCCGGCGCGGGGGATATACCTGAGTAGAATAGCTATTTGAATGTATAAGAAAGTACGCAATCTTATCAATAATGATACACATCCTACGCAATCTTGTCTTCTATAAACCATCCTCTTAAAGTTTATTGTTGGAGAATTTCAAATATTAGGTTTAGTTGTGACATGTTTTCAAATGAACGGGGGCAGTGAAGACGTAGGACGTGTGTGGTTGGATGGATGCACAAGCTATACAGTAGCCGCCGTTATACTTTAATCACCGTTATACTCTAATCACCGTTATACTTACTCTAATCGCTGTTTTACTCTTATCACCGTTACGCTCTAATCACCGTTACGCTCTCATCACCGTTATACTCTAATCACCGTTATACTCTAATCGCTGTTTTACTCTCATCACCGTTATGCTCTAATCACCGTTTCACTCTAATCACCGTTATACTCTAATCGCTGTTTTACTCTTATCACCGTTATGCTCTAATCACCGTTTTACTCTTATCACAGTTATACTCTAATCGCCGTTTTACTCTTTTCACCGTTATGGTCTAATCACCGTTATGCTCTAATCGCTGTTTTACTCTTATCACCGTTATGCTCTAATCACCGTTTTACTCTTATCACCATTATACTCTAATCTCTAATCACCATTATACTCTAATCACCGTTTTACTCTTATCACCATTATACTCTAATCACCGTTTTACTCTTATCACTGTTATAGTCTAATCACCGTTATTCTCCAATCGCCGTTTTACTATAATCTCCGTTAAACTGCAATCACCATTATACTCTAATCGTCGTGATAGTGTAACCACCGTTATACTGTTATCATCGTTATTCTGAAAACATATCGAGACTTTGGGAAATGCACTTACCACCGACTGCCGACTAACATCTGTAGACATGACAGCAGTAATCATGGATTGTGATTGTAAATGACTAACACACAGGTGAAAACACAATCGCGCCTTCTTCTTTCCTACTCATATACTTTTTAAAATAATAGCCTAGGTTTTACGTATTATTCACATCATGTCAATTGGTATCATATTTATCATATTGCATTATATCTATATTGCATTGTATTATATAAGATAGCTACGCGATAAATCGCAAAGAGCAGTGAAGTACAAGGCATTGGTTTTTTCACGATAGATGTAGCTGGGCAACGCAGATTAACGGAATGGTCGAACGATCGCATCCAAAAGTCTTGTCCGATATTGCCCAGATGGAATAATTATTGTTTTCAGGGAGTATTTAAATACGGGGAAATATTTTTAAAGCTTGTACATTTTGTTAACATCCTGAAAGATGCTGTACATAATGTTGATATTTCATAATATTTTACGAAAGAAACGACTCGTAGACGTTGCTGCGCCCCTCATCTTTTATTCTTCCTGCAGTGTTTTATTGTACAATAATCAACGACCACGAGTAATGTGCCTACGTGTATGTCCAGATTGTACATGCTGAAGTGAAGGTGCACTTTGTTTATGAAATACGAGTTGAATATCTTTATTCACCTAAGCTCAGTAAACCCGGACGCAATTCTAGTTAAAGGTTTGAATATTTTCATAACACGCACAACCCATGTACTTCTAGTCATAATGTCCTCAATTAAATTCACATTTCGGATTAACCGATATAATTAATTATTACGTCAGACTTGTTTTCTTGTCTGGATTGGCTTAAGATAATAACTTTAAGACAACATGGAAACATTTCTCTGAAATACATAGAATCCGTATTCTTGGAATGACGCCGTTAAGTAGTTTCATGGTCGGTGCGCATGATGCAATGCATGTAGCTGTGTAGAGCTGAACATCAAGGGATCGGCAGTGCACTCAATGGTGTTATCATCCGTGTGCAGTGACGCGATAACAGCTGGAATGCTCGTATGAAAGATTTAAAGTAAACAATAACAAAGATGAGATTGCGTTTTAATGTACTGCATACAGTCTATTCATCCCTTATACTGGAGCGGCCTATTGACTAAATTGGGCACTTTGAGGTCAAAGCATGACATTCGGGACACATGTTCTTCAGCCCAGTACAAACAATTACAAATAAAGGTCCATGAAATAACACGTGCAATGCGTAGCTGTAGCTAGACTTGCTGTTGAACTGGGGCGTCACAACAACACCCCATATAATGGACGTGTCTGCACTTTCTGTTTTTCGAAGGGGCATAACCATGTTGAGGATGAATTCCATGTTCTTATGATTTGTGACCAGTATTCTAGAGCAAGAAGAAACTCTTTTCCCAAGCGTCTCGTTACCCCTCCCTCTATTGAGAATTTTATAAGACTTATGTCAGCTGAAAACGAACAAATTATAAAAACAAACTTAGGTAAATTTCTCTTCCAAGTCATGAACATTTGAATGGAAACACAGTATGGAACGGTAAATCATTATTAAATCTACTCAGCATGCAAATATATATACAGTATTTCCATTGTATTATGGGCCGGTGGCCTGAAGTACCGAATACGTTTGTCTGTCTGTCTGCAATGTGTAGCATGTATGCACTCACGTGTATCATGAATAGACACGATCGCCCATACCTACACATGATCATATTCACTACTATGTAGCATAAAACACAAACCCCTTTCTCACAAAACCCTGGACATTCGCTCTTGTTGCTTAAAACTTATCCCAATACACATGTCGTTGACAAACATACAAACACTCAACATGCATGCATACAATTACACATGTCATTACAAAACACTCACCATGCCTCACAAACATGCATATATATAATTACACGTGTCATTACAAAACATCCAAACACTCACCATGCCTCACAAACATGCATATATATAATTACACTGTCATTACAAAACATCCAAACACTCACCATGCCTCACAAACATGCATATATATAATTACACGTGTCATTACGTGTCATTACTTCAGTGCAGATCGAGAGATATCTGCAGGCTGTGATTGGAGGATATTCTGTAAGATTTTTATGTCTTTTAAATGTACATCCATCCAGTTATTAAAACTGACCATGTTTTTCTATATTTAGTACTGTCTTTTTCAACATGATGACTTATGCTGAATGTGACCACAGCTATTTTCAAGTAGGTGACATTTGGTGCGAAACTGGGGGTGGTTTGTTGAACTTCCTGTACTCGGAAAAGGAGTTGGCTAAGCTAGTCATTTTTTATGTTTTTATTGCTGCTCTAAGGCCAAACTGTGCACACACGTACAGGTAATAGCTGTCGAATGCTTAGTTATTTAAAAAAAAATATAACGTTACTATAGAAGTCTATGGGAAAACATTTGGTTGTGTGTAACCTATAATTACACGTGTGATTACAAAACATCAAAGCACTCAACATGCCTCGCAAACATGCAGATTATTACACGTGTGATTAAAAATGACAACAATTACAAACTTGAGTTAACAGGGCACACAAAAGTGAACACACATGCGTCACCAACATACATACAGGCAGAGTCAACGTCCAGTGTTCTAGCAGCATCACGTGTTTCTAAACTGTGGAAACATAAAACAAATTTACCAAACATTCCCAGAAATAGCGACACACATTCGCGATACTGGTGTCTGTGTAACTACGGGTGTACGTGGCCTGTGACATCAAAACAGGAAATAGTTGTATTGTCTGAAGACGCCAGGTGTGTGCACGTGTGAGTCACTACACCCACCTTCTACTTGACGTGCATTTTTTTTCTAAAATAACATGTCTGAATGTCAGTTTGATTGATGACCACTCGTATTAGCTACTTGGATCTAACAATGAACAAAAAAATGTGT